ACTCACCCTGGAAATTGACTGAAAAAGCAAATTTTCAGTTAGAATGAACAATTGTACATGGCCAGTTATTTTCATTACATACCTCTTTTGACTCTATAATTTGGGTGAATTTATTGCTGTACAAGGTGCGTCCAAATTACCACTCACGTACAATATTTTCCATGTTAATTATAAAACAGTTCACCGCGCTCATGTATTCGGTGTCCTCTAATTATTTTCGTTTTTTAAGCGGATGCACTTTCGGTGCTAGAATTAACAGATCCACTGAACAATTTTCAGGATAATTCACTGGTTGGATATTTTTGAAATGGTCTGTTAGTAAAAATAGAAGTGGAGGAAAAATAAAAGTCTGTGTATTTCTACCATTTCTATATCCAGCTGCAAATTGAAAAGTGAATTTATGAGGCAGTTTTCCAAGACCGACATGTATCTTGGTGTCGATAAGGTTGTGGCGATGCATTATATTTTCGTGAAGTACCCGATGGGGATATATGCGCTTTTCCTCGGTACTCCACACGTAGCTATCGTTCTGGCCAAGGCATCAGGATGTATGGTCATGGATCGGTTGAGCTAGGTGAAACACACAAACCGTGCATTGTATTTTATATGGAACTATGAGAAATGGAGGGCTGAGGGAATAACAGGCTCAATTCGTCTCAATTTATCGTAATAAATTCAGTGTCAAGGATGAGTTACTCATGATTATCCTCGTAATTTTCTTCTCGATTCGATTATCACACGATTATCATCTCCGATAATTATTTTGGCAAATCTTCCTTCTTCATTCACACGACTATATGATAACAGGAAAATTATCGAAGAGAGAAAATGAATAAAAAATAAATTTCACTTTTTTTTTTTCATACAAGGCGATGGCGATAAAATGGAAATTTGAGGTAAAAATCGTGAAACCGTGTGAAGGATCACATCGGAGCTACTGATTACTCGTGTCATGTATGCCAACCACACAAATGTCACACAGTCTCATTTACCTTTAGAGGGTGAGGTGGGGTGGAGTTTTAGACCACTACCCCCGGTGGCGTCGCCGACGACACACCACGGAGTCACGTACGTGGTCTCCCGGCGCCTGGTGTCAAGAGTAATCCGTTATACGAGATGAGTGTTGAGTGTCGACGCCGACAAAATGAGAAGAATAAAATCAAGCTCAACACCGAGGCGAATATCAAAGGGAGGTAAAAAGTCATGGTGAGAATTAAGTTGAAATTTGATTAAACCGAGAAATTGGAGAAGGCCCGGGTAAGAGCATTAGTTAAGAGGATTTTATGCGACCACAGCACAGAGTCTTACAAATGCATTGTGCATTATGTCCATTAATGTCTATCCGTGCAAGTGAAGTCGTTTTAGCTTTGTACAGTAAGACAATACCCGACCGTTCGATAAATCAAGGGCTTACCGACCAGGGGCGAACCCCGGGGACTGAGGATTTAATAAACTCTCCAATTTCATGTATTGTTATTTGTTGATCATTGAATTTGTCTGCTTCAATTATTCATTAATATCAATTTTAATATTCCATTGATTCTCATCCTGAAATCCGCAAAGCTGAATAAATCCTTTGTACAGTGATTGTTGTTAGGTGACTACAATTCCACTCATTCCACGATTCTGCATCATAAAATCCTCAAAATGCGCTTAAATGTTATGTTTTCCACCATCCGTAGCTTGGCATTAATGACAAGATCCTCCCGACTTAGTATTCATAGAATCAAGTATCCATAAAATTATAATACAATCTTGTATATGAACGTCATAATAATCAGAGCATTCTCGCCATCTCTGCTATTCATATTTCCTCAGAGAGCGTCCATGCAACGGCCGTAATTACACTCTCGTCAAGGTGTCTCGTAAATCTCTGACAGTGCCTTGAATGCCATATGCCAACCATTCCTCGTGGAGATTGCATCTGATACTAATTTAGATATCCAATATTCACAACAATTTTTTTCACTGCATTCATGTTATGAAGTATTTCGGGGACGAATTGCTCAATTTTTATCGCTCAAATAGAATTTGAGATTGTGCCTGAGGCGAATATCGGTTTGCATCGAGTACAGTATATTTGTTTCTACGGGGGCATCAATACTTTTCTCAAAATAGCTCGAAGGCGAATTCACCAACTTACCATATCGCATATCCTCCATATCGTTTTCTGGTACCGCATCAGTACCTCAATGTACTCTGACGAAACCAAATGTAAACATAAATATCCGTATTATTTCAAGTTAGAGACAATATTTTCACGGAATTATCAAAAGGGGTAAAATTTCAAGCGCTGTTTCCCGCTATTCGAGACTCGTTCGCATTTTCTTTACAGTCCCTATTGAATACCAATAGAATCAATAAAATCAAATGATATTCCATACAAAGACGAGTATCGCCTGCATATTATGCTTTGATATTGACCGTAAGAGGTAACGACCAAATGAAAATAGCAATAATTCTTAAACATTCGCTCTCCTTGAATATTCCTCCCTTCGTAAATGAACTTTGTACGAGCCTTCACCCAGAATTTTACCCATATAAACATAACCCAGGTACACCCTAGATTTCGCATTCGCTGAGCCAAATAATCGCATTAGCCATCTCCATTATCGATTACCAGTATTTCATGAAGACGTATATCCTCAAGTCGAATGATTATTCATAGCCGTTTATGTTGGTTCAGTAGAAGGGGTTGGAAAGGGCCGGTTAAAACGGTTTGCGGTAAATGCCGAACGAGTGGCAACGAGCCATGGACCAGTATCAAAGTTTTAGGTGCTCCTAAAGACGATAAGCAAGCTTAGAAGCACTGGCCTATGGAGTTGCACACATTACACTTCATATTAATCGACCCTATAGAATTATCATCGCCCAATGGTTTACGATACCCCATCAGTATGCCCGGTTTATACGTGCCATGATTATCATGAAATAATCTCGCAATAAATATCCAACACGACGTCAAAACTGTAAAATCGTCAGTTAATATCAGTCGTTAGTATCGCGTGGGCGACACCACGACGCGAACAATTTTCAGATTATTATTCCAATTCCGTTTTGAAAGTGGTAGTCTATCAAGCCAGCAAATTGCATGTCGCAGTGTGACGGAGAAAACACGCGAGAGGAGCTCGAGACACGTGGCAAAATAGAACATCCAGAAAAGGTAGTCCTGCACAGTCAACGATTACCATGTGGCAATCGACTTTTGAAAGCTGGAGGATAGTAAACACCCTCCCTTCCCACCCGGAACTTCCCTGATGATGCAATATACAGTCGTCCGGAGCCCATCAAGAGGCGATGAAATACTCCCGTGATTGTGTGGCTCGTTAACCGCCTCCCTCAATCATTTGTCCACAAATTCTCCAATTTTCAATTATATGATACAGCTAGCAGCAGATTCAAATTCTCGGTGAAATCCAGTCCCAATGGATTATTATCAGGAGGATTATAAATAATGGAGGAACAGCTGGAACGAAATACTCCAGACCAGTTTTATTCCTACGACTGGAGATTAATGATGAATGGAGCATTTATGCGAAATACTTTTTTTTTTTGCTTTCTCGTGAAAGCCCTCTGACAACTCGACGTCATGTCAGCAACTTTTTTTTTTTCAACCTGCAGAAAATCCATTATACAGAATAGTATGTGAAATTGAGTGCTCGGGTATCGATCGAGAGCGATGTATTCTCTGAAAAGCTATCAGAAGACAACCCACGAAATGTCTATATTTAATCCGATTTGGAATCAATAGTGTACCAGGAGTTTTGAATAAGAAACATGCTGACCAAGTTTACGACGAATGCACATTCATGTTTCATGTATCTCTGCAAATAACGAGAAAACAAATGGGATGGGCAGTGGTACGAGTTTTTGCTGGATCGGGGAGAATGATCAGGCATCACTGAATCCTCTTTCTTACCAATACACCAAGTCTATCTATTGTTGAAAAGATCACAGTCTAGGTACGTCATCCTATTTTGTCGCTTATTGCAGCAACATGCTGAGAAATTCAGCGAATTCAGTAGTAAAAGACGACCAGAGTCCTCCGTACAAAATGATCCCTTTGAAATGTCCGTATTTCAACATCTTCGTGCTGTACTCCTCAGGAGTAAATCCATTTTGGATTTCCGAGAGATGCGGTGGTGCATTCTACTTTGACATAAGAGGATCACACAATGAAGCCGACGCCCTACAGCACAACTGTGAATTTGTAGCTGATGCACAGAATACTGACAGACTTCATTTCAATTTGTACCCGCAATCGGTATATATATTCACGTGATTATATGCCGAATGTGCTTGACATCGATTTAATTAATAATGGAAGTTCTGTCGGAATTCAAACATAATGGGCAAATGTGCAGAGGGCTTCCATCGTTAATGCATGGGATGTGAGAAGTAATTAGTTGATTATTACTGTTCCTGAAACTCAAACAGTTGCTTGAGAAACTTCCGTATCATATATTATAGTCAGTTGACTCTGGAGTCGGTCTCAACAATCGTAAACATTAGGTCTAGTATCGGCACAACTGTCCATATATATTTTTGATTAAAATTTGAGAGGTGGTAGCGGTCAAAATCTCGACTGTTTATTCGGTAGCGGACACTTTCAGAGCTCTCGCGTGCTCAGTCGACTGATAATTACGACCACTGTATCTTGGATGAAATAGCAGGATCACAGAGAAATCGGAGGAAATTGGAGTTCAGTACGTATTGACAGTGTCTGAGCTCTGGAGATACTCGAGATTGTAAGGTGAGGCAACTGGCAAGGTTGGACGAGTGATCCTTTGTTCAGGTTTTTTCTATCCATGAGTGAACAAAGATGTGTCGTACATCCAATATCCGAGAGTGCTATCGGAAAGGGGGGGTGTATAGAACTTGATAAATCTGACTTTAGCAGTGCGCAATCAATTCATTGGAATCAACACAATTCTACATTAAAGAAAATTTATTTAACGGAATGAACTAACTTGTGAATTCCCTTTTTTTTTCAATTCCAGATTGCAGATCGTTATTCTGGGATGCCTCAATCAACGGAATGCCCATTCGAATGAAATCCATAACTACGAATCAATTCATTGGATATTGAAAGGCCCTCAATAGCTTTTTTTCATGATCTCTTTTTTTTTTTTTGGTTTCCCTCCGAGTTTGTTCGTTGTTTTTTTCACGTCGAGAGATAGATGAGCTCATGGAGGCAACCGTTGCGGAGTAATTAGTGTCCCTATTCTTTTTACTTTCCACTTTGAGATATTCCGAACGCGTTCGAATGCAATGAGAAGTAATTAAAACCATGAAATTAACTTTGAAATTGTACAGACTGATGTGGACGCTAAGATATAGGTACATCAATAAATTACCACTGGGTTCGCGACACAAATGAGTGAAGAAAGAGTAGTTGGCCGACGTCGGGTGAAGAGTCTTGACAATTTCCTCAATAGGTTGGTCAAGGGTGATATAAAAAATTAGATGACAAACATGGAACTTTTTATTATTCTTGTTTGTCTTATTGGACCGTCTTCTGTAATATCATTGTCAGTTCATATTAAATCAAATCCCCGAATCGTACGACTGAGAAACGGTAACATTCAGGGATTGGAGCAGTCCTTTGAGATTAAAGGATTGAAGCCGGTGGATGTCTTCCTGGGAATACCATACGCTACTCCGCCCATTGGTGGCGATAGATTTTCACCGACCAAAGCACCCAGCCCTTGGAAAGGAACAAGGTAAATACCATATTCTCATTTTATTTTATGTCATTCGAACTTGAAGTACAACATCATTATCGGTGAAATGCGCTTGCACTTTACCTGCATTTAATGCACTAGAATTGATGGCCGTAGAGCGACCCGGGGCGGTACTGACATTTACAGCCAATTTCCATTGATATTGTTTCAATTTCCATACAACCATAATAAAGTTGGATGAACAGGTCATCACTTCAAGTGAATCTTCAATAATGTTACAGGAAAGCTGACAAAATTGGTCCAGTTTGTCCTCAAAAACTACCAGACATTACCGACGAAATGAAAGCTCTCGAGCGTATGCCTAAGGGCCGGCTGGAGTACCTCAAAAAACTCCTTCCACATCTCACCAATCAGAGCGAGGACTGTCTATACTTGAACATCTATGCTCCTGCAATGGGTGAGTAATTTTTTATCCCCAGCAATTGGAATTTCATCATCTACTCCAAGAATAGTTTGTTCACGATGTCTTAATGGAAGTGAACGTGACAAGTCGTGAGGAAATTGGCGAAATAATATCGGAAAAGTGAGGGAAACACGTTTTCAATAGCTTCTGTCGCACGTTCGACACCGAATTTTCTGACCTATTGCGGACGTGTTGGGATAAAAGAGTGAGCATGTGGTTATAATTCCAATTTATAATCCTCTACTCCTTCGAGTGCACAAAATTATTGGAAAATGAAAAAAAAAAAAATATTGTCGAGAGATAGTTTTTCGAGACGTGCAATAATGCTTCATTGAAAAACAACTTAGCAACGTTATGAGTCTCTCACAATCTCAATTATCGTGAGGAAATGGTGAGTGATGATTTTTATCTTCTTTTTTTCGTAAGAGGGAAGGGCGTCTTTTACGATCCAATAACCAGACAAAACTGGAATTCACCGAGGGCAAAAGACCCGGTGAATGCCATTGGTCGGTAATTGCCTTTTACCCATAGCGCATCGTCTTCCCTCATCTCTCAAACTCATTGTCGTTAGTTGAGCAAGTGGAACGTCATTTCTGTCTATAAAAAAAGTGCAAGCCGAGCGATACTCATCGTTAACTACTTGTTAGATCTGGCCTGGATAATCGATGTTCGTAGATGGAAGAGGGTGGATAAAATCCGAGATGTTTGCGAGGTAAAACTGGGACAAGGGACTTTGGTTGATGTTCGGAGAAAATCGAGGGCTGTCTTCAGCTAATCCGTAGATAAGTCCTCACCAGGACTTGGTTCGAAACTATTCACTAAAGTGGTGCTTATGCTTTTAAGGGTGGATAGCAAGTTGCTGGTACTCACATCAAATAGTTAAGGGTCTAGGTCGAACAGGGCTTCGAGATCAAATTGGACGCTCCACGGTGTCCTTCAGAGGATGAGATTCCTTATAAGGAAATTCCAATATCCCGCTAGGATTCTATTATAATGAGACATCACGGAAGTGATCAGCATTTTCAACAGAGGATCTTTCCCAAGTAACTCCGCTCGTATATGAAGGGAATTCTTTTTCCTTTCATTCTAGTGGAATGGAAAATTTTGTTTTCACCTCCTATTTCGTGAGTGCATGGTAACTTCTCTGTACACATTGTATTATGCTGTGTGCTGGTGGAAACAGCGATGGCCCTCACCAGAACGGAAATTGAACGGGAGCTTGAAGGAGTGCACTGTACCATGACGAAGGTAAGTTTAGACGGAATATAGGGTTGGAGAAACAGATCGAACCGGTTATATATGGTAGCATGCACCAGTCCTGTACGTTATATTGAAGCCCAGTTGTATCTAGGATGGAATTGTGTGACAAAGGAAACTGGCAAATGGAGCTCTCCATATTGAATATCTGAAAATGTAAATTTTGGGGGGAGGAGATAGGCTGCAGTCTGAGGCATTATGGGTTTAGAGATGGTAGCATCTGTAAATTTAAGAAGATAAAAAATGACGAATTACCGAGTGTAGCTGTTGAATAACAACATCTTTTGAAGGATTCTCTTTTGTCTTCGGTTGCATTGATCCAAGTTGGAATGTATGGGTATTGATTTCTAAAGACTGGGAACTAGCCTTTCCCCCGTGGATGATTGCCTTTGCTTGGATCCTCTTGTGTTACCGCCTTGAGAGTCGAAGATGCATAATAATTCATACTGAGTGTCTTCAGTCTATTCATTATACTCGATTCATTGCTTCTAGTTCTATTGGAACGAGGGGCGATCTTGGTATTATCAATTTCGGAAGGATTTCATAGTGTCTATGTCGCGGTGAAAATTAATGTGTGAGATTGTGTGCAGTGATTGTGTTACGGTACTGACGCCTCAAAGATAACCACATCACAGGTCGAATGACGAATTCAATCGATAGAAATTTTCAGGCAGTACCTAGAGGGGTACGCAAAAGATGCAGATTTCTTAACGTGCGCTAAAATAATCCCCAGCTCGTTCAAGTCAACCCTAAATTCTCATGGAAATTGTTAACAATCTTCAATGTTGAATATCTCTCGATAGATCGACGATATCGAAAAAAGAAGAGATATCGCATTTGCAGAATCAAAATTACTTTCCAGGCAGTTTACCGTTTATTTTTATCACTAGGACAATATCAGAGGCGCGCGGAACACACGCCCTATATGGAGAACCATTTTTATTATCTGCGATCATATATTCGTTATCCTCCAATCAAAACGACTAATCTGTTCTCATCTAATTCTTGTTTTTTTATTTAACTGTTTAATTTGTATTTTTTTCCCTTATCTTTGATAATTTTCATATATTTTTTCAAAGTGAAAATTTTCTGATGGACATATAAGGTACATATCATTTATATATATTTGAATATAGATGGAGAGAAAGGATTTTTTAAAGTTTAATTAAAATTTCAAGCTTTCACCAGTTAATGAATCGCATTGTTGATGGAGTAGCTCCTCAAGTAGAAAAGGATGCTGATTATTGACAACTTGTATACACATCCTTGATTCCCATGGCCTCCCTCGTGTTGTTCTGTTTATCTTTGCTTGCCCCCACCAATTCCACTCACATCCCAAGGCATTTGGGTCAACCATTTTCATTTCTTCACCAACGAAAATCTACCGTAACTTGGAGTGAAGTAGTCCGAACAATGAAGAGGTCCAGACATAAAATGCAAACCGGAAACGGAAAACCGTTTGCACACACTAAACACAAATATATGAAGAGGGTCTGTGTGTGTTAGCATTTGTTTGTTTCCTTGTCTGACTGGTGTGGGTTTTTACCCCTTGGACTCTAGCTTTCACCTCGGGTAACTCGGCAACCATCCAGAATACAAAGGAGTGCCGCCTATCCAACCCCATGACTTGGGATTCTGTAACCCAATACACGGCTAGAGTACCAGCGCAGTGCATATGTGAAAAATAAAATAATACGATATATTCAACTCTGAGGTTTTTACACCCCTTTTCAGCGACTAACCAACATGCCATTGAAAAATAAACGCATGCATTGAGAGGTTTACTGTGTTGGGGAAAGGCACCGTGTCGTTCCAATTGCATTTTTAACGAGCATTCGATACCCGTGGGTGTCCTCGTGGCTGACCATACCTCGACAACGAATCAACTGTCTCTCTCTATCTCATGGTAACTGACAATCGATTTTACCAACCTGTCCGCACCAGCCGACGCCTGCTGCAAGGATCGTTCCATTTTTCCCCTTCGTGTTCCTACCGTACAATTTTCACATTATTTAATTCCATATTTTTTTATAGCTTGTGGTTTCAAACATTAATATTCCATTATCAACGAAATTTTTTAGTGAGCTAGTTTGGAGATGAAAAAGTGCCACCGAAGCAAATGGAAAAAAATATATATAATCCAGATTTGGCACTCGTTTATTCTTCAACGAGTGCCTTCTCTTTTTCTCACTTTTTCTTTTCCAACGAGCTATTCCGTGGGTGAAATCCCTGGGATTTGCACGACTGTCCGGGAAAAGGGCGGGGGAGGAATGGGGTAATACTGGATGGTGTTCGAGCTTCCGAGATGGATTTTTCTCACCCATCTTTTTCTCTCTTGATACGAGTAGTCGAGGGTTGATCCCGAGACGCATACCGGTCAAATTCAATCTCAGTTTACAGGGAAGTTGGGAATGGACGGTTGAGGTTACTTTATGGGTGAGTTTTATGGTGGATTCAATTCTTGTATCTCGTTGTCCTTTCATTCGGTGGGAATAAGGGAGCGAAGGTCTGATGTAGAAGATAGAGCCAGCGATGGAAAATCCTTGGGAATCACATTTAGGTCCGGATGAATGGAGATATTTGTCTTTCTCAAGTGGTTTGTTATTCATTCGGTTACACCGATCAATAAAATTTTCGTTGACCATCCAATTGTTTTAAAATCCTTCCCCCTGGAATTATTTCACTCCAAGTCCCTGCCAAAATAATAATTCTCAGAACGTCCCAAAAAATAGAATATTTACGAAGAGGCGTTGCTACAAGTGTAAACCCCATGCTCTCGCGATTCGGCAACGGATATACGAAGGAGGTCACACTCCGTTGAAATATTGAAATGGCATAAGTCTGGTAAATCCCAAAAGGGGGATGAAAACAAAAAAAAACCAGACAGGAGGGGTTGAATAAGACGACAGGGACGTATGTAGATGCAATAAGCTATGAGGACTAGTGGAAAGTAGAGAAGGGCGGATAGAGTACTTTTGAATATTTTACAAAGTCACTCTTAGCCAGTCCCCGTGAGATATACCCAAGAATCGTTGTACAACTTGGTTTTAACATTGAAAAACGCCTCCAGAGTGCAACTTTGACCCCCCCGTTGCATCGGCCAAACACTCCATATTCATTCTCTCGTTTTTCGTTTTTCATCCCTTCCCTCCCACTCTCTCATCCCCGCAGCTCGGCCCTTGTCCACCAGTTTCTCTCCTAACACGACATGCGAGTGAATTTATATCCAACTGGTATTGTCGTATCGAGTACAATCGTGTGTTATTGTTTACTGTACACCGATGTTTTCAGTTATTACATTTTTTTCATTTCGCAGTTTGCCCTCCTCTCCCTCCTCCCCCCTTGTCCGCCGCGTCAACTCAAATAGAATGTATGTGCCCGAATAATAGGATGAAGGGCAATTATTTGGCATGTCTGTTGTCTGATAAAACTGGTAGATGTTAAATATCGGTGTGGTGCATTTGGTTAGGTGATTTGATGGGAGTTATCGTTGGTTTACTGGTGCGTATTCTTCTGTGGTCTATACTTCCTCTGGCCGATGTTGGAGCAGTAAACTTCAACCCCAGCGCGTACTCTGGTTACATACCCTCACGATTCTTCTTCTGCCTCGGCACGTTATTAATGGTCGAGTTAGGTTGCTTCATTTAATCATTTTATTAATTACGGAGAAAAGCGTTACCGCTGGCTGTGGATTGTAAATCATCGCTTCAATGTGCCTCCCTTTGTTAATGTGTATT